ATAAATAATTGATAAAATAAAATAAAATGAATCAAATAAATAACAGAAAATAGTTTAACCAAAAATTGAATATTATTTTGAATTGCTCTATATAAATCTAATACTAGTTAATGTCTACTTAAATATAAAAGCTTGTTCTCTAAGACTATTATAACTTTAATTCATGAGATTAAAGACAATTAATATTAAATTTTTTGGTGACTTCAACTAAAAACAAAATCCTATTCAATACTTGTTATTGACAAATACAAATATGATTAATTTAAAGTGATAAATCCTGAGTAAATACTCTAATATGAAACCGATTTTATCTTCTTAAAAATTTAAGTTATGAGAATAAAGTCATTTGTTATAATTCTTGCGATCATACTCGAATATCTTTAGAAATTACTTTAACTTAATCCGCAAAACCATCATCTTGAACATAAATAAAAGAGAGGGTGGCATCTTCAACCGTTTCTAAGATGAAGAAAATAATATTGTAACTGGTAATGAAGTTCACTAAAACTGTTTTTGTCAGTTTGCTGAACTATGCAAGAGATCCTTATATTGCCCTTTAAATGTTACTTCTTTCTAGATTAAGAAAAGATGAAATTTAGTAAACTGAAAATAAAATTGCTTCAGATGAAGCTATTTCATATGATTGCTTAACCCACTAATTTAAAAAATCATGGAATTTGGAAATATTATCAAATTTTTGGTAATAAGAAACGTTTCAAGTAAATAAAGATTCAGTTGGGCAAAGATAATACCTCTAAATAAAATTTACCCAGATATTCTTAACAAAACCCAATTTAGACCTATAGTAATACAAAGTTTGCTCTACAAAGTTCTTGGATTAAGATTTGATGATAAACGTATAGATTATCTTTAATAAGTAGTTTTTGAAATAATAAACAGGATTTGTAAAGGGATTGGGAACATAAGTAAATATCCTCGTTATTTGTGTTATTTTCTAACAAATCAAAAATAATTAGAAAAAGATAATGGTGTTTATTGATTTTTCAAATGTTTATAATACCAATGATAGTACTGGAAAAAGATGAAATAAGATATTTATAAGCGATACACAACTAAATTATTTACATTAATCTTTATGACAAAGATGACTTCCGCTACTATTCAAATGGTGTTCCTTAAAGTTCTCCTATATCCCCTTGCTTATTAAATATCTATATGGATAGTTTTATTAGAACTATTTTAGAAAATTTAATTAACAACCTAACATTCTAGGATATGCGAATGATTGAGTATTCATTCATGAAAATTATTTAAGATAATTTAAGAAAATCCTAAAAACTTTAGCAAAAGAATGGATTCAAATAATATTCATTTAATTTTGCTGCCAAGATTTGATATAAATCTAGAAAAAATTCTTTGTTGCTTGTTCCAATGATTAAATATTGATTATAAAATAATTTAGAAATGGGGAATGATATCAATTATCAATAAACTTTATTTCTAATTAAGTTAAATTTTAAACTTACTAAAAATAAAGTTTTCAATCCTTTATTTTTTTCTATCTCACAACCATTTGGTATGTATAATATAATTTATATGTTATCGCTCTAATGATATTCTATTGGTTTATTTAGTTTAAGTAATCCATTTAAATAATCCAAAAGGATGGATGTGATTTTTTCTAACTGAAAACATTTTCGAACTGCAATCATTTCAATAACAATGAATTTAAAAAAAAATAAATAATAAAATTTTATAATATATCTTATATGATAAAGTAGTTTCAAAAAATATTAGCTATTAACTAATTGAGTTTAGATTACCAAGGAATAAAATAAGATAATTTTAGATGGAAGTATTAACATTTGCTATTTTAAGCAATCTTAAATATGTAAGAGTCTAAATAGATGAAATGGACTCTAAATTTTAAGAATACAAAAAATATAAGAATAGTTTTAAAATTATATTTATCCAATTATCTATCATAAGGACCAACAATATTTTTACAAGAAAATTAATTAAATCCAAATATGTATATATATATTCATATTAATAACTTAGAACAACAAATTTTATTCAAAAAATAAATTAATTTAATTAAATTGAAAGTAAATGAAAATAACAAATAAATATTAAATCACAAATGGTTAATAAAAATAACTCTTCAACTTCTAATACCTTTAAAAATAATAAATTAATTAATAATAATCCTAAAATAAGTTTTTTCATAGAGTAATTATTAAATGTGTTTTATTTTTAAATATTTTAGAATTCCTAACTTATTTCTCATTCATTTGAATCTAAAATCATTCTAATCCTAGATTTACAAATTAATTATAATGGCACACATAATATCATTTGTGAAAATTTTATTTCTAAGATCTATAATATACGAAAATTGTATAACAGACAATGTAGCCGATTGTAGATATACAGATTTTTAAATTGTTGGAATAAGTGGTTCAACATTGGACAGATGTGGCTCACAACCTCGAAATTTACTTATGGGACCTTATGGATTTTCTACTATAGTTTCAAAGACGTTTACACATGTTCCACCAAATAAGTAATTAGAATTTTAAGTTGGAATATGGAAATTCGACTCTTGGGATGAAGAAGGATTCTAGATATATGCAAATGACGTATAAATAGAAAATTTAGTGTTGGGTAACTATGATGGTACTGGATTATGTAGAAATAATATGTGGGAAGATCTATTAAAGCCTCTCACACTAAAGTTTTAAATAACAGGAACTGATTTAACAATTAAGTTAAAAGACAATTTAAACTCTAATCCTGGGGAAGATCTCATGGATGGTATTATTTGAATGATATCTAGAATCTTGGGGATTTAGAGATTTTATTTTAAGACTTTCTATTCCTTGTGTTAATTTTTATAGTGAATGTAATTACGTTGGAACATTATTTTAAATATGTTAAGGAGAGTAATCAAAATTACAAAATTATATTCCTTTTGAAATCAAATCAATCCTTATGGGTCCTGGTGTCATTGTTAAAATCAAAGACCCTAAATACTTTTCAGGAGTATTATAATAGCTCACTTCTTCGTAGCCTTGTTTAATAAGTTATCAGGTATTCTTGAAATCACCAATTTTTAGTTTCCAAAGGTTGTCTATTAAGAATGATTATTAAAATTTAAAAATTTTATAATTAATCAGTTTATTTGGAAAATTTAATTTTTTTCATAACATTTATTTATTATATTAAAGTACATATTTTTTAATAATTTAAATCATGAGAATGTTTATATTACATTTTACAATTTTAAGCATATTATTAATATTATTAGAGTTCTTATAGCTCAAAATAAACTAATTTTTTATTTATCTAAGAATACAATCATACATCAATTATTGTAATACTAGTTTTTCTAATTATTCTTGATAAATATTTCAAAAGAGTCTATTGAAATGAATGGAAATATAAATTTTTTTCAACATATTCATAAATCCAATTAAAATACTTTCTTTGTGGAAACATAAATGATGACAATTAAAAAAAAATTTTTTAATATTAATTCCTTTTATTTTTTCTAGAATGAAGTATCAGTTGAAAAGTTAAAATTATTATTGAAGACAAGTATGTTGCGAAGCAATTATTTTTATTTTAAATACCTTAATATTTATTTTAGAAATAGATAATCAAAAGTTTCAAATAAAACTGTTACAAAAAATAATTCATTTAATCGGAAGAAATTTTTTTATTTTATTACAAAGTTGTCTTATTTTGTTTGTCAACATATATAAAATCCATAATTTTTAAATAAATGCAGATGATGAATCTGTTGTGAATGTAAAAAAAAGTAAATTTTTAAGTTGTTGAAAAATTGAATGGCCTTGAGGTAATACAATAAAATATAACTTGCGTGGATATAAAGTTACTACACATAATCTAATAGTTATATCTTAGATTATAACAATAATACTAAAATCAATAATTACTCTATAATAACAACATAAAAGAATTAGTTTGACATTTGTTACCTCAGAAGATATTCCTTCAAAATTTATCGTCAATAAAAAATGATATTAAATGTGGATTAGATCTCTTTATCTATTTTTTTCTTTTATTTTCAAAAATTTAAATAGATTTTCATATTTCAAAAATTGAAATAAATTAATAAAAGTCCTCAAAATAGAATTTATTTATAGCTACTTTGAGATTGATATAATAAAAAAAATAAAAGTTCCCATAGAGAAATTTTTTCATTTTAACCTAAATGGTCTTAATTATGCTTTTAATCCTCAATATCATTTTTCCAAATATAGGAAAGTAGATTAAAAATATTACTATTCTTTCATTTCAATTTTTATAGAATCTATTACGTCGATAGATTTCTGAATGAGTTTAGACTCATTAACAGATTCATCTTATATCCTAATGAAGGAATAAAGGATATTTTAGTCAATAATTTTCTGTTTTTCATTTCATATTCGAAAGATATTGAGGCACTCTTATCATTTTATCTAAAATCGAGTTCAGCTTAGTAATCTTTATTCAGATAACAATTTATTAGCCTTAGATGCTCAAATGAAAATATTTTTCCATCTCACCTAATGATTAGATTCAATAACCTCTAGAACTTAATGAAGTATTAGAAAATTCTCTAATAAGATTCTTGATGTGATTTAAAGTTCAAGGAACTAATAGAATAGCCTAACATAGATAAGCTCTTAATCCCTGATTAAATCAACAATGGAGGAAGACTCATTCAATTAGCTGCTCTGTTGATTAAGTTGACTCGAATATAAATTTTTATTAATAAATTCTAAAGTTATACTTTGACAATTAATCACAATAATTATTCTTAAAACCAGATTTGATCAATTTTATTTGCAAAGAAAAATAAAATCTCTTAATTATTGGATTTGGTATATACTTTACAAGCAAGATTATATTCAGCTTTTAATCAAGATAATTTAAAGATCGATTGAATTAATTAAAGAGAAACCTAAAATTCCAATTTAAGCATTAGGTTAATTGTACTTGAAACTTTGTATCTAAGTATACTATAAGTAATATCATTAGATATCGTTATTTAAATTGAGAATGAATATTTTAATAATTTCAACTAAAATTTAATCTAATTTGGTTGGGATTCAAGACCATGTTTTTGTTAGTTAACTAAAATTAAATTCCATCTTCCTTATATCTATATAAGTAATCAATAATGGCACAAGTAAACAGCTTTACAAATTTGTCAATATCTGCTTTATTTCATAATATAGTTGATTAGGATATTATTCTATTAAATTGTAAGATTATTCAATAAATGTTAATAAAATAAAATTTTATTATATCTTGATATAAAAAGATATTATAATTTATTTATCTTCCTAATTCTTGGTTTTATATTTATCATCACAACGTAACCATTAAATCAAACTTTATTATACCAATGTTCATTTTATTGTATATATTTGTAATAAATGATAATCCCTTTTAGGATTATGTAATATTTTGATTAAAAATATATCAAATAGAAGTGGTTTGAAGATTAAAAAAGATTATTCAAGTTCATAAGGTAAAAGATTTTCTCTGTATTTTTGTAATTAATTTTTGTGTATTTTAATCACATCATTTGTAAAATTATTAGAAATAAGGTTAGTCTAATCTGATAAATTTAGGGAATTTGAAATACATATAAAATTTGATATAAATATTGATCTATGTTTATAATTTTAATTATCATTTCTTTTCAAATAGTTATTAATAGTTATCATTGAAATGTTGATTTAATATCTAGAAATTATGTAATTTAAATGAGATAATAAATTTTCCTTAAAATATGTACTTAATTTAGAGATTAATATCTTTTATATATCCAAAATAGTAAATAAATTTATATATGATAATATTTCTACATTTAATAATCATATAGGCTTGCTAATAATACCATAATGATTATTATATCTACCC